TGTGATTCAAATTGGTGGCTGTACAGCCAGGTAGAGAGTGAAAGGGGTAGTGAAGAGGGCTGTTAAGTCCATTGCTGTCAATTTTTAACGATCAGGGAGGGGCCTGAGGACTGGTTCAGCACAATAAACCCAGTTTGTCTGGTTTCAGGGGTTACTGCTGAAGAGGTTGCAGCTGCACTGATTCGAATAGCCTGGAGACTTCAGAACTGTAATTATCAACCAGGCTGCTCACAGTGTGGCAAAAGTGGGCTCCACCAGCGCTTAACTCCTTGTGTGCTGACACATCATCGCTGCTTTCCCCACCCCTGGGTTTCCCAGCCTCAGCGGGGACTCCCAGGCAGCCTCCCCAGAGGAAACTGAGGCTCACTGGCTGCTTACCAGAGTGTGCCAGGCAGCCAGCTGTTTTCCTTAGGTCTCATGTAAAGAAATGGTGGGGAGGTGGTTAGTGATATGGGGGCAGTCTCAGCTCCTGACGTGCTCACATCTGCCCTGGGGTGAGAGGTCAGGCTGCAGAGCCTGGTGAACCTTGGTTTGAATCCACTGGTGATGGACTTAGGACAAGGCTCTCCCCTACCCGACTGGGCTGTTACAGAGATCCAATGAGACACAGTGTCTGCAAAGCACCAAGCACACATAGGCTGTCTGTGAACCTCCATCTCTCTGGCCCTGGGTCTGGTGCCTTTCACAGAAAAGGAAGGCATCCCTAGCAGGGGATCTGATTCATGAAGCTTTCCGCCGGCCCTCTGTGTTTCAGCTCTCAGGGAGTGCCCTTGTTCCCAAGCATCTGCCATTTGTCACCCAAGGAGGGTGGGCAGACCTATCCTCCCATCTCTTAGGCAGGAGGCACTGGGCTAGACACAGGGAAAGGAGAGGAGGCAAGAACTCCTCCAGTGCTCTGGCCCTCAGGAGAACTGGTTAAAGGCAGGGAGTGGCACCAAGGGAAGGGAAGAGTGGCGGGAAGGTGGAAAGGCAAGAAGGCAGGGAGAAGGCAGCGTGGTGTGAAAAGAGTATGGGCAGCTGGAAGGACGTTGCAGGAAGGATGTGCAGGACTCATTGACCCTCCTCCTGGAAGGAATGTAACCCCAAGAGACATTCTCCACATATCCATGAAGGGGTGTGGCCAAGAACGCTTGTCCCAGCATTGTTCCTGGTAGTGGGACTTGCAGGCAACCTCCGCAGCCACCACCAGCACGGAGAGGAAAATGTGACGGAAGCCAAGCATGGAATATTAGGTAGCAGTAAGAAGCAAAGAGCTGGATGTACACACAGCAACAAGAATAGGTCTTGAGTGAAAAATGTGAGACATAATGAAAGCCACAGCACAATGCCATTTCTGTAAATTAAAAACACACTTGTACACAAAACAACAGCACATATTTTACAGAGCAGCATGCATTTTGAGGAGTCTCTATCCCACCACTGGAGTAAGTCCCTGTAGTGGTGGAGGACGGACCCAGTGTGGGTTTGGAGGAGAAAGGAGGAAAAATGAAAATAAAGTAAATCCACGGAAGGGTCTCGTACAGAGAGATGATGGCAGCATGCTGTGGACTGAAGAATGTGATTCAAGTCTCTCTATTTGAGGTTTAAAAAACAGCATAGGCTTTATAGCTGGACAATCCTAGGTTCCAGTCTGAGCTCTCCCACATACTGATCCTGTGGCTGTGGACAAGTGCCTTGGCTTCTGCGAGTGTCTGTTTGTTCATCTGTAAAATGGTGGAGAAGGCTTGCCCATTGGGTGGTTGGTCATGAAGATTAAACTAAGGAGACATTGCGTTTAGGGCCTTCAGGGCACAGCCAGGAGCTCCTGCTCCTCTCCATTCCCCACTGAAAGGCCTGAAGTAAACAAGAGGGTGTTAGTCCCCTGGGGAAACCATGGGTCCTTGAAAGGGTCAAGAATGGAGAGCCTAGAAAGGAAATGAAAACCTCAGGACTCTGTCTCCTAGCACCACCAGCAAGGCCTAGACCCGCTGTCCTGGGGCTATCGTGTGTGGGCTGTCAGACCAGGCAAGTGCCCGACTGTGAAGCAGCTGCTCTCTGCCTGTGAGGATGAGTTCAGCTTAGGGTGGCCAGACCGTCTCATGCTTGCCTCCGCCAGCAGCACCCAGTTAGAAACCCTTCTGTGTTCAATTTCCCCAAGACCAAGCACTTCGAGGCATTCAGTATAAATGAAAGGTCTGTTCCTCCCCACACAAAGCTAAACAGACTGGCCATCCACAGACCATCCCAGTCCCAAGGCCCCACCTGGGAACCCCCCAGGCCAGGGAAGGTCCCAGTGAGCACCAAGCATGACCAGCTCTTCCTCTTTCCTTGCAGATGATGATGAGCACGAGTGGATCACCCGTACCTGTCGAAAGGGCTAGGACGAGATTTTGAGTCACAGGCCCGAGCTGTGAACTCTGTGGCTGCCTCCACCAGAGGTTTCCATCTGCCCTGCTGGCACTGGCTGCCCTGGGGGACAGGCTGTAGTTCTAGAACCTGACTTTTAACTCAGGAATAAAGACTTTCTGCAGTCAGTGGCCCCAAGTGTATTTGCCTTAAAAGGTTGTTTCTCAGTGGGCATCATTTCACCTAGACAAAATTGTGAGCTATAGATATTCCCAGGACCCACCCTAGACCTCCCAATCAGAATCTCTGGGAATGGGGCCCAGTAATTTGCACTCCCAGCATTTTGCATGCATCTGAACGTTTGAGAACCATCTCTTTATAATACATAGACGTAATTGAGCACTAACCGGTGCAGGTAGTGTGTGTGCATTATCTCCACTCCTCAAAACAGCCTTGCAAGGGGAAGGCTTTTGCGGATGAGGAATCTGAAGTTCAGAGAGACAGAGTGACTTGCTTGGTCTCAGAGAGCAGTAGGACCTGATCACTGTGCCCAGTCCTGCAGCAGTCATGGGTTCTTAGTTTCTGTTTCTGGTTGGGCCAGTGAAGCCCCTTCCTCATCCCTCTTTTCCGCTTATCACTAGAGACAGAAACTAAAAATCATGGCTTCAGGCTGCTGAAAGTCTAAAACAAAACAGAACAGAAAAACAACAACAACAAATAAGGTGGGTTGGACAAGCTTGTTAGGCCCAAGAATGATTACTCAGGCCTGTCTTTCCCTCTTGGCAGCTCCCCCATTTGAACCTCACATCCTAAGCACAGAATCAGCATGGTGCCATAGAAAGAATGTGGCTTTGGAGGCCGGGCATGGTGGCTCACGCCTCTAATCCCAGCACTTTGGGAGGCCAAGGCGGGCAGATCACATGAGGCCAGGAGTTCGAGACCAGCCTGGCCAACATAGTGAAACCCCATCTCTACTAAAAATACAAAAATTAGCTGGGCATGGTGGCATGTGCCTGTAATGCCAGCTACTTGGGAGGCTGAGGCACCAGAATTGCTTGAACACGGGAGGTGGAAGTTGCAGTAAGCCGAGATTGTACCATGGTACTCCAGCCTGGGTGACAGAGCGAAACTGTGTCTCAAAAAAAAAAAAAAAAAAAGATTGTGGCTTTGGCATCATATAAAAAATGGTTGTAATAATGCTTTAAAACAACACAGTAGCTGTGTGGTTAAATAATGCAAGTAAGGGACCTGGCGCATAGTAGGTATTCAACATGTGTTTGCTTGAAAGAACAACTTGTTAGTGGTGCATATAATCGTTTCTCAAAATCATCCCGGTGGTCACACTTGTTAGCTAAAAATCAGAAGAGGAAGCGACAACATGTTCCAGGGCCACACATGGGCCATATGCATCCTGGATCTTTGTCTAACTGTTCCTCCTTAGAGGTTGCTAGATCCTGTCACCCCCTGTGCTCTGTCCCCTGGCTCACCAGGGCTGCCCAGTGGAGGCAGAACAGTGAGTCAGGCTTGGAAGGCAGGAGAGGAAATTGGATCTCAAACTAGGGACCTGGAGGCGTCATGCTGGGGCAGAGCCAGGAGGCAGCGGGAAGGGAGGCCTGGGCTCACTCTCAGCTGCACCAGGGAGCAGACTTGGGATGATCACCTCTCCCCAAGACGCCAGTCACCTTGGTAGATAGAGTTGAGCTCCAATGGTGGTTTCCAAACTGTATTTTGAAAACAGAAGGGACATTCATGTAAAGAAACACACAACTAAACTCACATATTTTCAAAGATACACATGTATCTAAACATTTGAAAATGGATTGGAAGAGCAGATGTATGAGGAGCAAGAAATGGGGTCAGGATGGCAGATTTAAAAACTAATAGAATAAAGAGAGGGGCCCTGCAGTCAGTGACTCATGTGCACCATGGGCTGAGGTTTCTGAGCAACTCATTTCTGTGCAGGGCCACAGCAGGCCAGGGAAGCCTCTGCATTCTGCAGGGCAGCTCTGCTCTCCACACCAGGAGCTTTAGCTTGAGCAAATGATTCTGCTGCTGAAAGAAATTTGACAACCACCAGAAAGATGCTCTTTCACTCCTCAGGTTACGAGGTGGCTCTGGAGCCTGACAAAACCACTGTAAGACCCAGTCTTGTGCAGAAGCTGGGGCCCGGCTGCCCATTCCATATTCCTTTAACTTCACCCTATTAAATGCTTCCCCATCTTCCAAATAGGCTCCTCTGCACCTCCCTCCCTGCCCCACCCTCTTGCTTACCTATTCTGTGACCTTCTCGTCTGCTACGATCCAGCTCTAATACCCACCCCGTTGGCTCTCACAGTATTTGCCAGACTGAGAGCTCCTCCAGGGCAGGGTCTGGCTGGGAGCCTTTTCTGAGAGTGCAGAGCCAGCGTGGGGTCCAGTAGAGAGTGTGTGTTCAGAGACTGGAATGGAGGGCATCAAGCAGCCTGATTCCCTCCAAAGCTTAGATAAGAAGCAGGTGTGACTGAGTACTTAGAGAAGAAATCCATCATCAGGCCTCTACAATGCATTGTTTACTAACTGGGAAATAGTACCAGTTTCCCAGGAAGGAGGATTACACTGTCCAGCAGCGCACGTATTCTGGGAGCCAGGGACCTAAGCCCTTCACCAGAGAGCAGGAAAGAAATGGAATCCCATCATGTTCTGGATTTCAGTGCCAGCACTTCTACTTGCATTAACTTTATTACACAAATAAGACATTTACAAAGCACGACATGAAAGGTATGTAACAAAACAGACATTGGTTTTACAAAAAAAGTGCTTACAATTTTTTTCTCTGTGTGTGTGTTTTCCCCTTTTTTTTTTTTTTTTTTGTATTTAAATAAATAGTCTTGATGGCCTGTACGTTCCCAGGCTGCTCTTAACAGGGTAGTGGAGACATGTTTGAACTGTAACATGCTACGACCACATAATCCACGCAAGGAATAGACCCTGAGGAGAGGCTCAAGGCAGAGTGGGTGTTGGGTGACCCTGGGCAGGGCTTGGCTGGCCACTTACCACACGGTTGCCACTGGGGCCTTGATGATCAGGAGCAAAAATCAAAGGAAAGATTTGAGCTCCCCAAGGCCAGGGATTTGGCCCTGGTTGCTCCTGTTAATGTCAGCGCCTAGCACAGGGCTGGGCACAAGTTACCACTGGCTGAGTGCTGAGCTGAGCTGTACTCACCACGTTCTGAGTGGTGCCTGTTCTTTGCCCTCAGTCAGCTGTCACCATCTTTGGAAGGGAGAGGAAGCAGGTTCCCTTCTTGGGCTGCACCTGTGCCTAGCCTGCCTGTAGATCCCAGAGCAAAAATGACATATAGGCTTTCATTTTAAGTGCCAACTTCAAGCATTTGAACTCTGAAACCTTATCCAGACTTAGTGAGATAGAGCTGCCATTGATTAGCAACGTCTGCCATGGGTAAAAACAGAGACAACGGCTGCGTATGTACCATGAACTTGCTTTCCCTGTCCTAGAGTCTCCTTCCAAAAGCAACATAACAGGTTAACCACAGGAGGAAGGCAGACTTGGGCTAAAACATGCTGATTAGCAACCTCTAGTGGAAAATGCATCAGGACACCAGGTAGTTCTAGAATTACAGGATAAGCTTGGGACAAATGGGCATCCCCTGAAAACATAAATCATGGTCATGTGTAGCCTGAGCCCTTTTGTTTGGGGTGGAAGAGTTGTAGCAGGATGGATGTTATGCAGCTGTGACTGGCCTCTGTTCTCAGGGGTGGGTGGGGCTGGCTCCAGGAAGTATTGGTGGGGAAGCTCAGAGGTGCCAGTTGGAATCCTGAGCTTGGCACTCTCACCTAGGCAATGGGCACCCTCTCTCTACTTAGAGATGGATCCAGGGTTAACATTCTGACTACCATTTCACTGGGCTCTGTTCCCTTTCCCCCATGAGGGATCCCCCTTCCATCGAGAAGACCTGGCCCAAGCACCACTATGAGAGGTCAACAAGTAGCCAACAGGGGTCCCCAACTCTAACCTGTCCAAACATTTAGAAGGGTCATGGCACAGATCAAATACCATCTCTGCTATGTTTCCTACATATACGTTGGATAATTAGGTAGGGGTAGGGTCTCTCCCTGACCCCAGAGTTTTCTCTTTCCTCTCCTTAAAATGGCTAGTGCCTCTTCTGGTCCAATATGTCACCGCCCTCTCCTTCATTTCCAAACCAATGGGGGTGTTTCTTCTCCCCATTTCCTGTCTATCCCCCCTGCCTCCTAGTCTGGGCAGGCCTCCATCTCTGCCCTATTGGGCCTCTCAGGGTTGGTCACTGTCTCTTCTCTTTCTGAATTAACTTGACATAACCAGACAGATGGAAATGATAAAATTAGAACATAGCTTTCCTTTGGGGACATCCCACAAACACTGTAGAGTTTTCCAGACAAAAGCAACAGAGTGGATAACATTGGGGGTTGTCAGCTATTCAGAATTCAGAGATGGTTCCAAGGAAGTAGTAAATAAAGGCCAATGTGGGGGGGAAAACCTGTAAATTAGAAGGCCGTTGGCGTCGCACAATTCAATTCCGCCTTTTGCTATTGTAATCAGCTGAAGTTGAAGAGGACTCCTGTTTAAATGGGAAAAACAGGCTGTTTCCACCCTGATTCCAGATTTCAGGGAGTTCTGCCTTCCAAAAGGAGGACTCTGTGGTGCTCCTGGTGGGTTCTGGTTCTCAGCAGGAGAGGGAAAGGCCAGGCCTCAGGAACCGACCTGGTGGTGGGCAGGATGGTGGACGGGGATGGATGCGGAGGTGGGTGGATTCCTGGCCGCAGCTTGGACACTGGATCTCAGCGGCTGAGGGGCAGCTGTGGCGCGCCCACGGGCAGATGCGGAAGTGCCGGCAGCGTTAGTACTGAAAAAGGATGACCTGCAAGAGGAGGGCATGGGAGGTGGCTGAGCTGGGGGCCTGCCCCACCCTGCCGCCCCCCAGAGAACCTCAAAGGCACAGAGAAGAAGGGTGGACTCAGGGCTGAGATCTGAGTTTAAATCCTGGCTCTGCCAGCTGACTTGCTGTGGGACCTTGGGCAACTCACTTCACCTCTCTGAGCTTGTTTCCTCACCTTTAAAACAAGGATGACAAAATCTCTCTCTGAGAATCAGAGAGATTCAATGAGATACAACAGCAGCAGCAAAAGCCTTCTGGGCATTTCACCCTGCACCTTCCGTGCCTGATTTCATGGAAGCTGCACCACAGCCCTGTGAGGGAGTTCCAACATTCTATTTTACAGGGAGGGCACTCAGGCTCAAAGAGGTGGAAGCGAGTGAGCCCATGGGCACACGGCGAGGAAGAGGACCTGGCACTGGAGGCCAGGCCTGGCCCACAGCAAGCTCTCCCTACCAAAGCACATTGCCTCTACCTCTCCAAAGTCACCGTGACCGTAGTGGCTGACTGCTTATTACCCACCGGGCCATGGGCTAAGCACTTCACATGCACTTAATCTTCACATGCACGAAGCCTAGAACTGCGTGGCTCAGACATGCTGGGCACCCAATATACCGTGGGAGATCAGGACTGTCTGTCCGTCTCCCCCTTCCACTCCCGCCTCTAGCACTTGGTTGACATCTCACTGCTGCTGACACAGCCAGTTCCCTGAAGTTCAGGTCAAGGATCACTGGCTGGCTGGTTAATGGCGATGTGTCATTTCACAGCAAAGTGTGAGGGGCATCTGGTGGGCATGACCACATGGCTGTTCCCTTTCTGATCACGAATGTTGCTTGCCCAGAATTGGTTATCACAAGGAGGTGATGGAGGAAAGCAATGATGATGATCTCCACAATAGTGATCATGATCATAACCAACACCTAGGGAGCATTTTCTGTGTACCAGGCTCCGTGCTGGGCTCTTTACACACATTATGCATTTACTCTCTGCAGCAACCCTAGGGAGTAGGAACTATTATTATCCCCAGTTTGCAGATGTAGAAACTGCAGCTCAGAGAAACTAATTGCATTCCCAGATCTCACAGGAAGGAGGTGGCAGAGCTGGGATTCCGAGTTGGCCTAAATCCAGAGTGACCAGGGTGGGCATTCCTTCCCCATCCTGGCCACTGCTCCATTTTGGACTCCAGGATGCCTGGCTGTTAGCCCTTATTAAGAGAAGCTCTCTCAAGAGTGGTGACCCTGGTAGGACCCTTCCCCTCCATGGGCCTCAGTCTCCTCCACTGATCAGTGACAGCTTGGCCCTGATTTCTGAGAACTTTCCAAGTGTTGAATTTGTGGGATCAGGGGACACAACTAGGAAGAAATATGGATCTGGAACCTCACAGGCACCAAATGATGATGCAGTGGAGGCAGGGGATGCTCCCCTGAGTGCTCAGAGCACTGTTCTCCAGGCCAGGCCAGTGGTGGTCTAGATGAGTGGGTTCAGGGGCCAGCCCCAGGGAGACACTGAGTCTCCTCACAGCTAGGCAGGCTCAGGCCTGGAGGGACTTGGAAGAAAGCCCAGGCAATTCTGTGCTGGCCACACACATCCCACACTCTGCCACCCACCAAGCCCCAGGAATCTGAAGAGTTGTGGACAAGAAAAGTCCCTAGGAGCTGGCAGAAAGGCCTGACAGTGAGAGGACAGAAGGTCACAAAGGAGGGAGAGACACTTTCATGCAGACTTTCTGGATGCAAAGTTGGGGACACAGCCCAGCAAGGGAAAACTCTGGCTCAGCAGCCAAAACCAGGGGCCAGAAACTGTCTATAGCCAAAACTGACAGCCCCCAGCGTGGCTTATCCCCCAGGCTAAACGAAACAGAACCACAAGCTTAGCCGAGCAACCAGGAGGCAAAGGCTCCTCTTCAAGCACTGAGCCCAGCCCTCTGCACCTCCAGGGCCCACTCCCTGCCCTCCATATAATGTCCAAGACCCTCTCTCAATGATCCTTTGTTCTGTGGCCCCCATCGGCTCTCCCCACTTCCCTGGACTTCAGCCATACTGAACACCCACCAGGGTCCCCTCCGACCCAAACTCCTCCATGCTCTGGGCCTTTGCACATGCTGTTCTCTTGATGTGGAATGCCCTTCTTCTTGTCCCCTGTCTTTCCCCTAGAGCTTACCTCCCCCTCTTCTGGGTCCTCTAAGGTCATGTTTCTCGCCTACTCCAGCTGCCCATTCCCCTGCAATGTAGCTGCCCACATCCCGTGCTAAGCCACAAGCTCCCTGAGGTCAGGGATCATGTCAGCTCACTTCTGCAGTCCCAGAGCCAGGTCTAATAGGATGAATCCCCTCCCACAGGAAGGGACAGCTCTGGGGCAGGTGGCTGTAGGATCCAGGCCAGTTCGGCCCATGCTCACATTGTAATTCTGGATGAGCACTGCTCTGTCTGAGCCTCAGGTTCTGCAAGTATGAAATGGAGGTCATCACAATCATCCTCCCAGGGAGACTATGAAGGATGAGTTCGGAGAGAGGGCTGTGTACACAGTAAAGGGCTGCACAAAAGGAAGCAATTACTGAACCACGCAGACTTCAGAGTCCGACAAACTCACTGCATCCCTGCACAAGTCATGTCACCTCTCTGAATCTGTTTATCTCTTTACAATGAGAAGGCCATCTCTATGTCCACAAAGTGGCTGTGAGGTGTGAACCAGATGCCATGTGACAAGTAGCTGCCTTGAATAGAAGGAGCTCAGCAAACAGCAGCTCTTCCTGTGAATGTGACAGTCTCAGCGGCAATGATGTTCCTGGAGCATGCTCACTCATTACAGATTCTGCGGGATTTTGCGTTAGGCACTACCATTTACTTACAAATGTATCTGTCCAGGGCTGTCTGTACCTCCACACCATACACATTCTCCTGTGGTGCCCGGCACAGAGAGCTCAGTACATACTAGGTGTACTGAGCTCAATCAGGAGGCCGAGCCAGAAGTACCATCCTAAAGGAGCGGTCCCCACCCCGGCTGCCCATTAGAATCACACAGGCTGAGTATTACACACGCAAATCCTTATATACCACCCCATCAGACTCTCTGAGAGCGAGGCTTAGGAATCTCTGCCCAGGTGATTCTGAGCACACCAAGACTGGGATCTGCTGAACTGGAGGGCTCCTGACTCCAGCCCTAATGCTCTGACCCTCTCCCTCAGGACTGCCACACCCACTGACCTACAGGGTTCCCTGCCTCCTACTGGGTGTCCTCCAACCCAGCAGTCTCTGAAGACTGCTACAGTGATGTTTCTGCAACAGGCCCTCCAGGACCCCACACTGCCGCAGGATAAAATATAGACTCTTCCACCTGGCAGCCTCAAGGCTCTTGCTTTCCTCCTGTCATCCTCCCAGATGTGCCTGCCAACAATGCTGAATGGCTCAGGGTTCCCTGAGAGCTCTGGTGTCTCATGCCTTCCCTGATGCCTCAGTTTTCAGGCCTGGCCTTAGAGGTTGCCTCCTCTGGGAAGTCTTCCCTGCCTCTCTTCTTTGCCCCCTTCCCCCTCCCCAGCTCCCATGGCTTCCCCTGTCACACTGTATTGTAACTGTTGGGATCTGCCTCCCCCTCCAGACTCTGGCCTCTTCAAGGGCAGGGACCACACTTTACTCATTTCCACTCCTGGCAACAGACTCAGGGATGCTGGGCACAGACAGGACATAGGAAATGTCTCCAAATAAACAAGTGAATTAAAAAATGCAAGGTTCGGCCAGGCTCGGTGGCTCATGCCTGTAATCCCAGCACTTTGGGAGGCTGAGGTGGGTGGATCACCTGAGGTCAGGAGTTCAAGACCAGCCTGGCCTACATGGCGAAACCCCATCTCTACTAAAAATACAAAAAAAAAAATTAGCTGGGCATGGTGGCAGATGCCTGTAATCCCAGCTACTTCGGGAGGCTGAGGCAGGAGAATCGCTTGAACCCAGGAGGCGCAGGTTGCAGTGAGTCAAGATTGCGCCATTGCACTCCAGCCTAGGCGATAAGAGTGAAACTCTGTCAAAAAAAAAAAAAAAAAAGCAAGGTTCTCAGCCAGTCTCTGACTTTGAGCTATCTGGGCCTCAATATTCCCATTTCTAAAATGAAAGGGTTGTCTGAGAGCACTGGCTTTCATGACTAACTGTGAGGTGTCTTGGAGCTGGGAGGGAAGTGAGGCTCCTCCTCTCTCCACGGTTTCACAGAGCAGCTCCATTCACCTTCATCTGTACTATGGGCAAGTTTAAACAAAGGGTTGCAGTGCTTCAGAAACAATACCTTGAAGCCCTGGAATGGGGACAGCTAAGCACCCTTTTTCCTAAAGCCTGAGACAACCAGAAATCCTGGCTCCACAGAGGAGGCCCTGCCAGTTGACCAAGGTCACTGGCTGGCCAGCTATCCCTGAGCCCCATCAGCTCAGGATATTCACTCCCAACAGACAAGAACGAAAAGGAGGAACCAGTGAGATGATGGGAAGTAGGGTGATGAGTGATATAAGCCCTCCCTGGAACCTCAAAGCTTGAGTAAAGGAAATTCACAAATCTGAGACAGAGAAGGGCAGCATGGCACCAAATTGTTAACAGGGGATGCCGCCAGAAGCCCATCCCCGACAGGGTGGCTCTGACCCACCAGACCCAACCTGGCTCCATTTACCTTCTCACCCCGGTTGGAGAGCGGCCCATCCATATCGGCTTTGAGGTGGACGGGGGGTGCGGTGTAAGGCAGCCGGCAGTGCACCTGCCCGCACTGTACCTGACCTGTGGATGAGAGGATGCCTTGGAGCTCATCCCCCAGGCTACACACAGGATCCCACCTGCCCCGAGCTCTGCAAACTGGAGCCCTGAAACCAGTTTCATCTCTGCCACTTACCTCCTGGGTAACCCTGGGCAAGATTTCAGTAGGATTGGTTGTGATGCCTTTTTTTTTTTTTTTTTTTTTTTTTTTGGAGACAGAGTCTCACCTTGTCACTCGTCACTCAGGCTGGAGTGCAGTGGCACGATCTTGGCTCACTGCAAGCTCTGCCTCCCGGGCTCATGCCATTCTCCTGCCTCAGCCTCCCGAGTAGCTGGGACTACAGGCGCCCACCACCACGCCCGGCTAATTTTTTGTACTTTTAGTAGAGACGGGGTTTCACCATGTTAGCCAGGACGGTCTCGATCTCCTGTTCTCATGATCCGCCCGCCTTGGCCTCCCAAAGTGCTGAAATTACAGGAGTGAGCCACCGCACCCGGCCAGTTGTGATGCTCTTTATAGTTTATGAAAAGCTATGTGATAGTGAGGTATAAACATCTAGCTCACTGATAAACACTCCTAAATAAATATGTGCTTTCATATCCATGCACACACAAGCAAGGCTGTACCCTGCCTATTCAGGCCCTGCAAGCAAGGCTGTGCCCCATCTATTCACACCCTCCCTCAGTAAGTTCGTATCTCTTAGGTATCACCATGACTTTACCCATGCCTCTTAGAGGACTCTGTACTCATATGTCACCGCTCTCTTTATAACTGCAACCAACACCAACAGCTACCCCCTACCCTCCCTGTCTTCCTCCCCGCTTTATTTTATTTCCTTAGCACTTATCATCTGACTTAACTGCATTTTTTTTTTTTTTTTTTGAGACAGAGTCTCACTCTGTCACCCAGGCTGGAGGGCAGCGGCATCATCTCTGCTCACTACAACCTCTGCCTCCTGGGTTCAAGTGATTCTCCCACCTTAGCCTCCCAAGTAGCTGGGACTACAGGCATGCGCCATCACACTCAGCTAATTTTTGTTTTTTTGGTATAGAGGGGGTTTCATCATATTGGCCAGGCTGGTCTCGAACTCCTGACCTCAAGTGATCTGCCCGCCTCGGCCTCCCAAAGTGCTGGGATTACACGCATGAGCCACCACGCCCAGCCTGGCTTACTGCATATTTCTATTATTTATTTTACATTATCTGTCTTTGCCAACTAGAATGCAAGCTCCATGAGGGCAGGATTTTTTGTCTGTTTTCTAGATTCTAGATCTTTGTGGATTTCCAGCACTAGAGTGAGGCATGGCATTTAGTAAGTACTCTTAAGTATTTGCTGAATGAATTTCCATACCATATTCCAACATCTAAAACTGTTGGGGAAAGTCCACCTTTGGGTTGGATCCAAATTTCTCATGCTTCAGCCTGTTTATCAATACAGCAGAGAAGTCCATTGCTGGTCTCTTCTTTAGGCTTCATTCTCTTTGGTCACAGGGAAAGGGCATTGTAGAGACACTTACAACTGATATATAAACCAGGACAAGTCACTGTTCCCTTCTGAGCCACAGTTCTCCCATTTGTAGAATAAAGAAGTTACATGAAATTGGGAGTTCTTCAGCTGGGGTGTCCAAGGAGTCCATATACAACTTCAGATTACTTGGAAAATGTATGTACATCTGCATTTTTCTGCGTCTGGTTCCAAAGCTTTTATCAGATTCCAAGCTTGAAGCCTCCAGGAAACTCAGTATTCTGTGACTTTAGTTAACTGCAGAGCAAACTCTACAGAAAAACTCATTTTTCTGGGGTCTGGTTCTAACACTTTCATTAGCTTCCCAGCTCAAGGCTTCAGAAAATTCACAACTCCATGACTATAGTTTACCATAAAGCAAACTGCTGTGGTGACTCTCAGTCAGTCATGCAGCAAGAGGTGCAGGTGCACATACCCCGAACCTCTTCTTCCCCAAGCTGAGTTCCACCACAAGGGTAAGAGGAGAGGGCACCTCAGCCTCTTCTCTAAGCATCAAAGACAGATCTAAGTTTGGTCAACAGAGTGTACGGATAGAGTCTTGGCGGGGACTCTGGAAATCATGGCCCCAAGTCCAAAGGGATCATCTAGATTTCTTATTGACTTGACACCAAGTATTAGCAGGTAGCTCAGAACGCTGGTACTTATAGAGCCTCTGATCCTTGGCACCTTTAACAGGCTCTGTGCAGCCTGAATGTAGTCATTGTTTAGAAAAGAAAGGGGGAAAATGTCGCTCCTACTGAGCAGATAGTTCAGAAATGGAACTATATAGAGACATGGTTTCCAACTGGCAGCCTAGTGCAGAGACAGGGCTCTGCACTCCTAGTTCTGCCAACCAAAACCACTCCTACCATCACAAGAGCAGCCAATACTTATGCAGCACTTGCTGAATGTTGAACACTTTCAATTGGTTACCTCATTTGATGCTCAGAACACTGCTTTGAGATACTCTTATTATCCTCATTTTTACAGATGAGGGAATGAGTATTCAAGAAAGCTAAGAAACTCACCCACTGTCACACAGCTAGTAAATGGCAGGGCTGGGATGTGAAGCCTGGCAATCTGACACCAAAGCCCACACTTGATCATTAAGGCATACAGGCTCCCACTAACTTACAGTGGGCCCTTGGTTTCCTCATCTATTCAAGGAGATGGTGGCCTCTGATGTTTAGAGACGCAGTCAGTAGAGTATATGGCATATGGTCAGTAAGCAGCAGTTCTCTCTCTGATTTCCCTTCTTTTTCCCTGTTACATGGAGCCAGAGAAGGGAGGATTTGTGTGTGTGTGCATCGTAGTCATTTCTATTTTTTGGTCATGCTCAGCATGGAGGAAACAATTGATGGGAATAACTTCAAAGGGAAAGACAAATCTGTGATAGGCACCTGCTCAGCAGCAGATGCACTGAACACGCATTCTCCAGAAATCCCCGGGGCTCCTCCCTCACTCCTCCAGGTTCTCGCTCACAAGTCACTTCACCATGACCCGCTTGCCCCTGCATCTCCGCCACAGTGCTCCCTGCCACGGACATGCCTGCTCCCTCCCTATGATTTTATCATCTCCACCATCTCCCACGCTGGAGTAAGCCCCAGGAGCACAGCAGCTTTGGTTTACTGTGTTCACTGTCGTATGCCAGTGCAAAGAACACAGAAGGCACTAAAGATATAGCTACTGAATGCATGTATGCTGTCTCACAACCCTGTGAGGCAGGCATTACTGACATCCCAGGTTACACATGAGGAAACCAGGGCTCAAGGAGGTTAGGTGACTTGCCAAAGGCCTCACACCCTGGACACTCCCACCACAGTGGCCTTCTGCACCCCAAAACACACCCATGCCACGATGCTTTCTGGGCCAGGGCCTGCGTGCATTCCGTTCCCCCCACTTCAGGTACCTCACTAAATCCTATCCATCCTTTCAGTCTCTGCTTGCTGAGGGGCAGCCCAGCCCCTTCCCTTCCACCCCGCAGCATCTCCAGTCACTTGTATCCAGCACCTTTCCTACAGAAATCATCCCACTTAAAACGACACGCCTAGTTATTTTTCCATGCCCACCAGAACCAGGCTGCACAGACTGGGTGCTTTGAAAGTATTTTTTGAATGGCTAAATCGCTTGCCTCTACGAAGGACTCCGCTCCACCAAGGCACAGCCGAAGATTTTACCCCTCTTCCCCCAACTCCTAGATCCAAATGACTTCGGGTCCCGCTTCTTCACCCACGAGGCTCCCCAAGGCCCCCCACCCCACACCTCGGCCTCAGCCGCCCACGCGCGCTCCTCTGCCCCCCCTCCCCGCAGGCCCAGCGGCTCCGGGCGCTGCGGTTACTTACTCTCAATGTAGCCGTGCAGAGTGACCATGCGCGCCCGCTCGGGGCTGCTGAACGGGGTGTAGTGGATGTCGTCGGACAGGGCGGAGGGAAGGCGGGAAGGGGGCGCCCCCGAGGGCGGCACTGGGTGTTGCGGCGTGTGCTTTTTATGACGCGCCCGGCAGTTTTGAAACCACACCTGGAACGACAGCCTCGGCAGCTTCAGCCTCGCTGAAAAGAGTCGGACGCGCCGCCAGGGTACCCCAGGCGGGACCGCCTCGTCGCCTCCTGGAGAAGGATGGCCACGTGCACGCACGACCCTCCGCGCCGAGCCCAGCTACGAGTTCCGGGGCGTGCCCGCGGTCCCCAGGCCCCGCCCACCCCGTCCCACCTGGATGACTCTCCGGCTGAGGCCAGTCATGTCCGCCAGCTTCTGCAGCGTCTGAGCGTCGGGGTTGTTGTCCTGCGCGAACTGCGCCTGCATAACCTGCGGGGCGGGGAGGGCGGTGAGGCGCCCGCACGCGGAGACTCCGAGACCCCGGCCCAATCAGCGGCGCCAGCCCGCAGGCCACGCCCCAGGCAGCTGCGGCCCCTCCCCGCCACCCGGGTCCGGGCAGAGGGGTGGAGCCAGGAGACCTTTTCGGCCCCGCCCACTTTCGGCCCCGCCCACGCCCCCGCCGCCCGCGGCTTGCCACGGTACCTGCAGCTGTTCCGCGGTGAAGGACGTCCGCGCGCGCTTGGCCGGCTTGGGTTGACTGTCCTGTTCCGAGGGCACTGCCCCCTCCAACGTGAGGCCGTTCCCTGGGGGCGATAGAAGCGGCTGACCACGCGTTCCCATCTCTTCTAGTGGCAGCCTGGAAAGGACGGGGGTGGGGGGAGCTTGTCCCTGGAAGGGTCAGGAGCGGGAGTTGGCTGGGAGTGGGGATCCCAGGGTCCTAGTCCCTGAGCTCAGTCTTTGGGGAAGGGGTTTCTAAGCGTCCGCTCAGTACTGGACACTTCTTACACGACTGGACCACGTCTTACAGCCCTGAGAAGAGGTGGCGTTACCTCTTTATACATGGGAGGAAACTGAGGCTCGGAGAGAAGGAAAGCCCCTGCTCTGGCTCTTTCGACTAGAAGCTGAAAGCTAGCTGACCGTAATGCCCCAAACTGAGCTCCATCCTGGCGAAACTGGGGGAAACCAAAGGCTAGAGGAGATAGGATGCAAGCAAGTAATGGAACTATGCTCCTAATTTTGTACAAATGAGCGGAAGGAAAAAAGGTTGTAAGAATATACAACAAGGTGTTGACAGTGGTTTACTTTCCAGGAATGTGATTATGGAAACTTTTTACTTTCAGTGTTCCTGTAACTTTTGAGGTTTTTTTAAAAAAATCATATGTTGCCTTACTTCTCTAAGGGTGAATTTTGTTAACCGGACTATATGTTAGATATTATCTTTCCACTCATATTACTTTTACAATCATACTAAAACACTAACTATATTCCCATTTTATTTTTAATACTTCATTGTTCTGAATATCCTCAAAGTCTTAGAAAATTTCCATAAGCACAAAGAAGAAAATAAAAATCACCAGTAATTTCAGCACTCAGAAATAACCATTGTTCACAATTTATTGTAATTTTTTAATTAGGAAAAAATTATGTTGAAGGAAAAAAGCAAACACTGTAACATACATGGAAAAAATCTGAAAAGATACACATTAAAATATGAAGGAGGCAGCATTTGGAGCAATCATTATTTTCTTCTTTTTGCTTACCATCTTTTCTAATTTTTCTACAATGAATGTCTGTGTACGTGTGTGTGTGTGTGTGTTATGTTTAAAAAGTGAAACAGTAGCCAATACTGAGGGCTGATCAGTAAGAGACATCAGAAGCCCCAACCTTCAAGTTCCTCAGAATGTTAAGTCTGTGGACAGGTGTGGCTGTGAGAGCTAGGATGTAATTGGCAAGGCTGTGACTACAGGTGGTCCTGGTTGGACCATGTGTGGAAGGAGCCTGTGGTCACTGTTCGACCACAGTGTGGGAAAGCTCTGACTCCTGGGTTTCCATCCCAGCTCTGCTGCTGACTTGCTGACCACTGCAGATAATTTCATTGCCCACCACTGCAGATAAGCAGGCAGCAAGTGAAACCCAAGTTCACTAGATGGCCCCTTAGACCCATTTAGTCCTGATCCTGGCAGGAGAAAATGATGGCCCTGTTATGGCCATGGCCAGGAACACTCTGGCAGTCCCTGACTAGTCCCCAGGCTGGGACCTAGAAGTTGAGGCAGTGTGGTTCATACTCCTCCCCAGAGGACACTCTGTGGTATTAATGTCCCCCAGGAAAGCAGGCAGGGCAAGGATTGGTGTGTTGGTTTTTTTAGATGGGAAACTAAAACAGAGGCAGCAACATCCCTGAAGCCTCCTTGGCTTTATGAGATGGGATTAAGGGACCCTAGAGCTTAGGGCCAAGGTGGTATGGTATGGCATGGTATGGTATGGTATGGTATGGTAGTTAAGAGGCTGGGCTTTGGAACTAGGCAAATCTACTAGTATATAACTTTTGGCAAATCCTGTTTCTTCTTCTGTAAAATGCGGACGTGCCACCTACTTCCTAGGGCTGTTGTAAGGATTAAATAAAATAATCCCTGTTACAGAGAAGTTAGCAGCTTTCACAGACCCTAACAGGGGAATTAGAGAAAGAGTCCCTGCCTCTGCCCACAGCCAATTAGTGCCTTTCCCCAGCTCCATCCCGTCTGTGTCTTGGTCCCCAGGATCCCTGAAAGACCTGAATCTTGTTCCTGGGCAATCTGGGGAATCACAGTGGCAGAGCCAGAAGAGATTTAGGGATCATTCTAGTCCAGTATCTGTCTTGCACAGATGTGGGGACTGAGGCCCAGAGAGAAAAGGAAACTTCATATGTCAACACAGTATATGAGAGCCTGGTCTCCAGACTCAGAAACCTGGTCCTTTCCCCTTGTAGTTAGAGACCCTGGTGGGGGATGAAAACCCCTCCTCAAATCTCTGGCTTGGAGCTGCTAGTATAGGAATTGGGAGAATGGGAGCCAAGTCATCTCTCCAGGACTGGCCCAAGCTTGGTCCTGGGCAACTGGAGGCGATCAGCCCCCCGGGCCAATGAGAGCTGTCCAAACGTGGAGTAGGCTGCCCGGTTATGAGAACCATCTCTAGAGTTCATTGAGTGCCTCCTGGCCTTACAACATATCAGCTCGTCTATCTTTGGGAAGGTGTTCTGTCGTTAACGCCATTTTACTGATAAGGAAACATAGTTGCAAAGGAGGGCAGTGACTTCTAACTTTCAAGCAAAAGATCGAGCCGGAAGTGCAAGATCTGTGCGCCGCCCCACCCCTACGCTGCCTGCGGGGCTATACCGGGAAAGCCCAATCTATAGAGGAGTGTGGGTGGTTCCTGGGGTGCTGGGGTGGGGTGGGGAGGGAAAGGGCTGGGGGCAGAGGTGCCAGGCGGAGCAGGTTGGGTACCGTTCTCGGCGGCCCTCTTGAGATTCTCAATCATGGTGTCGTAGTGGATGCGGCAGAGCACCTTCTCCTCCACCAGGCCGAACTCCTCACCAGTGGACAGCTGGCGCTTGCACGAGAAGCAGGCGAAGCAGGCCAGGTGGTAGGCGTTGCCGCGAGCTCTCCTCACCCAGTCGCTGGCGTAGATCTGTCGGCCACACCGGGCGCACTTGGTCCCAAATCGGCTGCAGGTCGAGAGGACAGGCACGGGGTGTCGAGACTCAGACAGGCCAACCTTCCTCCTGCCTTCCACCACCCAATGGCCCGCCAGCCCCTAGGCTCCTCGCCTGTGAGTCTTCAGCTCAGGCATTAGCCTTAGCTTGGACGCACCAACCCTCTACACCTAGTCCCACCTAGAAGGTGAACTGATGGGTGATTTTTATTTTCTTCTTGGTGTTTTTCTGAATTTTCCAAATTTTCTATGATGGTCACTTATATTTGCATATTAATTTGTTTGTTAAAAATACATCACAAGTTAGAAAAAACACAATAATAGTAATAATAGGCAAGTTATTGAGCACTTACCACTTGCCCAGCAAGATTCTAATTGTTTTACGTTGATTATCCCAATTAATCCTCATTTTGCAGGTGAGGAAAATGGGGACCAGAGAGGTAAAGTAACTTGCAGGAGGTCACACCGCTTGCAATGATAGGAACCCTAGCCATCCTGACTCCAGAGATGAATATAAGCTATAGCCCTAGCAGCACAGAAGTGCAGTTTCTTAGACGGACAGACAGATAAGCACTTACTGGCTTTGTGACCCTGGGCAAACTGTTTAACTCTGAGTTATCATTTTCCTTGTCCTGCACTGAACTAACTGAAAACAGCAATGACTCTACTGTTTGTTTAGTGCTTTGTAGTTGGCTAAGTACCCAGCAAGTCCCTCTGGAGCCTGTGACATTCTATTAATAATACTAAATGTTAAAAAGACAAAAATAAAAATAAAAAGTCTGGATCGAATGTCTTCTTGCCCCTTAAGCCTTCCTTGATTCTACCTCTTCTCCTTCTCCCTTCTGGTTTTGTAGTCTGGCAATCTGGGTGCAGCTGCCTCCAACAGCAGACTGGAAGCCCCTCCAGGAGGCAGCAGAGTCTGGTTTACTCCATCCCAGAAGTCAGCCCAGGGTCTGACCCCGGGCACCAAGGAAAGTGTGTTCTTTAAAGTGGATGACCCACCTATGACTCTGTCCCAACCCTGGCAGCCTGTTTCCTCCGGTACACCCTCTGTTTCAGAGAATGGTGCCACCACTCGCCCAGCCCCTGAAGCTTGAAAATCATAATCATGCACTCCTCTCTCTCCTCAACCCCTCCTCCAGCCAATCATCAATGCTGTTGGTTCTGTTTCCCAAGTATCCCTGGGATCCATCTCCTTCTCACCATCTCCACTGTTGCCCTCCTAGGCCAGGCTCCCATCATGCAATCCTCACTGTCAACCTCCTCCCGGGTCTCCCTGTTTCCCGTCTCGCCCCTGCCATCCTCCACAGAGCAGTCACAGCAAAGTTTCCAGCATGCACATGAAATCCTGTCTCTGCCTTGCTTACAATCCTATGGTGGCTCCACTCTATCCTCAGGATCTGGTCCAAAACCCTTGGGGTTTGCAAAACCCCAGCGACCACATCCTCTTCAGGCCCATCTCCTCCCTAACCTTCAAGATATGCCGCCCCACCATCCAGGCATGTGTCCCAGTCAGCCACAATGGAAGGTCACTCCCAGGTCTTTATGGCCTCCTCTGAAGCACTTTCCAACCCCCAGGCCTTTGCACTGACCTACCCTCCCCCAGAGTCCCACGGCCTCCTGCACCACTCTCTCAGCGCTGACCACACTGGTTTGTAAATGTTTCGTTTCTGGCTCTTCCCTTCCACCCCTTCCACCTTCTTAGATTTGGGGGCCTGGGGTTGCGGGTGGGGAACCAAGAAGATTTGCCTCTGCGTCCCCAGAGCCAGTACCCCTCCACCCGGGGGAGCATTCGGAATCGTCTGTGTGTGCACGGAGGAAACAGTCCGGCAAAAACGCTCTGGTTACAGCCTGCCTGCCTTGACAAATTCAAGCAACTGTCGGTTGAAAAAAACAGCGTTGGCTTGGACTGAGTGCAGGAGCCCAGAGGCTTCTACCAGTCTCCGCTCGCAGACTCAACCTCAACCCTACTGTCTCCGACAAGGAGCGCGAGAGGACCCTTCCTAGGGCGGCGCGGTCTCCTCAGGAGGTGCTGAGCACCTTAATCTAGTCCACCGCTCCCCTAAGCGGAGGCGGTTCCGGACCTCGGAAGCGCGGCTTCCCCAGCGGAGTGCCCAGCTCAGCCCACGGTCTCTGTTCCCCGTCCCGCCGTAAAGGGGAGAGGAAACCGCTTTGCCCATCCCAGCCTACTCCCCCCGAAGGGCCGACCCCGGGTTCCGCCACCGGGCTGGTGGTATCCGGATTGGGAGCACTTTCTGGCCTCTGAGGGGAGGCTGGCTTCTGATTATGTGTGCTGCAGGAGGAGGGGGAGGCCAGCCGCGCTCAGAGCCCTTACTACGGGCCTGGGTCCTGGGGCGCAACGCCTCCATTGCACCCTCTCGGTTTCGTTGCAACCCGGTGAAGTGGGGACTCTGGCATCAGGTTTTCATACGAGAATCGAAGGTTCAGAGCTGGCGAGTGGTTTGCGGAAACTCCACAGAGTATGGAGCTGGGGTTGAGGCCTCCTCCAAAGTGCAAGAAGTACCTAGAACCTGCGGAGCAACTGGCATGGCGACGAGGAAAGCCGGAATCCCGCATGGATGAACAGGAAGCGGGGCTGGTCTAGCAGTGCCGCGTCCTCACTCCGGGCCGCTGATTCTGGAATCTCCAGCGCGCGGGGCCAAGGGCCCACCCGCCTGGAGAAGGCGGTGAGTGCGTCCTCAGTGAGCGGAAAGAGCCGGAGCAGGGAAGGTCATGGCCATCAGAAGCTGGGCAACAGCGGCTGAGCCTTCTGTGCGCTTGGCTCATGGGATTCTTTCTCCTTGGCCAGGGACGAGTCAAAGACTCTGCGCACCGCGATCTTCCTGCCCCGCGAGTCCCCGACGCCCGAGTCCGTTCTGCGCCTACACAGGTAGGTCACAGCGTCCTCATACCCTTGGTCCGAAATAGGCGCCGCTAGTGACCTCTCAGCAACTTTCTTATGCTCCACGTGTCACCCGAAATGCTGGAAGCTGTCCCAGCTCTAGGATCCTCCTGCGCTCCTCGTGGCTCAGCCCAGTTTAAGAAATCGTCCTCGCGCTGGAACCTTGAGGTGGGGTTAGGGCGGATTATGTAGGTTTGGTTGCATTGCAGACTGCCCTGCAGCTTGTCCCCGACCCAGGACAGGAGTCACCAGCATGAAGGGCGCGAGAAAGCTTATCGATCCAGGCTCTGACAAAACGACATTCCTTCCCAGGCGGGCTGCGAGGCCGGAGCCACCGGATTCCAGAAACAGCGAAATCGGCGGCGGAGACAACGAAACTTCAAGAAAGAGATGTGCAGGAACTGCCACCAGAGCGCCAAAGGGATTAGGGGGTGTGTCTATTGCCACCCCAGCTTTGCTGTGAGGTCCGGGCCTTGCGCGTCCCTGGATCCCGGCATATGAAGGGCCTAGATGCAAAGGACCCACGGCGCTTTGGGGATGGAGAGGTGTTCGACAGATACTGCTCATCCTGGCAACTGTTAAAAGGAGTAAGGTGGGCGTCGCGCACCGCAGTGCCCTCTACCCCCTGAAAGGAGAGCAGAGATATCTGGGTACTCGTGGTTGTACGAAGGGAGCTCTGCGCCCTTAACCAAGTCAGACTCACTTTCCCAGCCTACTATGCTGGATATCTAGTAAGCGCTTGGTAATTATTTGTTGGATGAATGAGCCTCAACGAAAGAGCCCATCTGAGTTTCACCTCGACCCCTTCTTCCACTGTTAAGCTACCCCTTTTCTGCACAAGGAAACCAAACCTCAGAGTGGAAACGCCAATGTTAGTTACCAAGCTATTGAGCCAAGAGGCCGAAACTCAAACGGGGGTTCACTTATTTTAGGTTCAAGACGTTCTTGAAGGCCTTAGATCCTGTGAGGCGAACAAGGTGGGTTGGAGGTGGAGCCCTAGGTATTCTCTCTGCTCCTTCCCTTCCAGGTAAACCCGTAGGGGAAGACGCCAGGGGGGAAAGAAAAAAAAAAAAACAGAACCAGCAATTAAGAGGTTAAAACGACCGCTTCTCGGAGGTCCCGGCCCTGAGGCTCCTCCCCCAGCTCCTCTCTCAGTTCCCCCAACATCTGTCCCCCAACAGCTGGCCGCCGATGGGCCGCTCTCTGCCGCGGTGGGGGGCCGCTTCCCGCTCCGAGCTTCCCCTGGGACCCTCGCTCTGCGGGAGGGGGTGGGGTTCTCCCGCTGGAGCCCGCGACAGAGCTTGGGCTCAAGGCGGAGGGCCAGAGAAGGCTGGGGGCTTGCCTGAAGTCGTTTGGGCCTAGCTAGGAAGAGGAACTTTAGCCTCCAGGGCAGTCACTGAACCTCCACCCCCATAAACAGGAGGGGATGCAGTTAACCCTTTACTCCCCACTCCCATTGTCAGAAGGCAGGAGGGCCAGGGACCACAGTGACCTGATATTGACAAAGGTGCTCCACTCACAGGCCTCTGAAGTCACTCCTGCCCCAGTGTTGCAAGAGCACCCAGGGAGCCACACATCAGAAAACACAGTGGGTGTGCCAACCAAACTGGGCAGGGAATCTTAGGATCAGCAGAGAGGGGCCCCATGATGCATAGATGGGTGGCTGATATATCTCACCTATAGAAGAGTATGGGAGTGTTTAGGGGCAGGGATGGTTGGAGCCAGGCCGCTGTAGGGCTTATGTAGTCTCTACCACTTAGCCGTGTGACCTCATCTCTCAGGGTCTCAGTTCCTCAATCCCACCCCAATGCCACCATAATGTGGGATTATGAGAGTATCATACATACAAGGTGGACCTGAGAATTAAATGAGATAAAGCAGGTAAAGGGTTAGCCCAGTTCCTGGCTTAGACAAGAACTCCATACATTCTGATGACTGGTGTCCTGTGTGACTGCAAGCAATGGCACTTTCTCAGGACATTAGTCTCCCTTATACAATGGGCATGATGTTTCAGCAGGCTGAGGGAGCCAGGAGGGCACTGTAGATCGGGCCATGCTCTATTGTAAGGCAGCAGCTGCAGGTATGGGAAGCTGGGGCTGTGGTTTTTGGTAGCAGGGGAAATGTGAATGTCCCAGAAAGGAGCACTATTTTTCTTCCAGAATTTTCTTCCATTTTTGGAAGAAAACAGAAAGAAAAATGGTCTTAACAAAAAGGTGAAGAAATTAAGAGTCCTATCACATTTTTCTGGTGGTAATTTTTTTTCCTGCTGGGAATCTCAGGGAGTAAGGGGAAGTAGGGATCTGGTTGAACCCACAAGGGCTGGTAAGGATCCTGTTTAGAGTGTGAATTGGAGAAACTGAGACAGAGTCCAGTGGCCTGGCCAAGGACATGGAGCCAGTGAGAACCAACCTCTCCCAACAATGCAAATGAGCCAGGAGCAGCTCTGGACCTCCTTGTCTCCTCTATGCTTTGCAGACCCTCTCCCTGATGAACTTGGAGTTCCTTCCTAACCTTTAATTCCCTGAACCACCAGTGCTAGCTCTGCCAATGGAGACTGAAGGAGGGTCTATAAGATAATGTCAAGGAGGGACAAGGTGGGGGATAGAACCTAGGTGACCCTCTTCCCTGGGGAAAATACCAGAGGTTAGAGGACCATGGGCTCTCCATACTTTGGGCAGAGTGCTCCAGTCCACCTCCTACCAGACTCTTGATCCTGGGCTTCAAGAAACAGAAGCCTAGAGAATCTCAGCATGTGACCCCTCCTTGGGCCCCAGCTCCCTAGAGGAAAATTCTGCCTCCCACACCACCATTCACACTCTCTCCAGGAAGAGCTTCCTCATAGCAGCCACCCAGAGTTTGGACGGCATTGCAGTGCAGATAATAGTCCTTGCCTGGCACTCGACCGGCTTTTTCTTTCCCTTTTTGTGGGTTTTATTATTTTTGTTACAGGTGGGGCTGCCAGGGATGGGTTATGCCTGCAGGGAGAGAAATGATCAGAAGAGCCACAATTCTACTCTCAATCCAGGGAATGTGAGCTTTTACTGCCTCCATTTTCTTAACCAGAAATCTGGTTTAGTTTTGCTTTCAGGGCTCTTCTCATTGGAAAAAGATTAGTGCTCAGAACCTGCAGCCCAGAAATGGCCCAGTCCCATCCCTCCAGGCAGGCTCTGCTCCTCAAGCTGCATGGGGAAATGCCATCGTGGGCTTGTGCCCAGCATCCACCCTGCCAAAGATGACAATGGTGATAATCGAGGCATTCATACCAACCGCCATTTAGGGAGTCTTTATGGAGACTTCCCCCAAGAGTGGCCTCTTTGGCAGCTCTGGGAGACAGCCTTGGAAAGGGCAAACTAAGGGAGGAGAGATTTAGCAACTTGCCAAGGTCACAACTGGCCAGACTGGGCCCAGTCTCCTGCCTCTTCCCACAGTGGCTGCACACCCTACTCTACCCCACTGCAGTAGGAAGAGGACTCCAGAATAAGGGGAGGCTCTCAACAGTGGAGTCAGGATCCGTGTTTTGACTAGTTTCAAGGTCTAGTAAAGCACAGTATCCAAGGAGGCTCAGTCCAGCATGGGCATGAGCTAAGGCTGAAGAAGCAGAAAAGAAATTTGGGCAAGTAGCAAATAAGACTGCCAAATCTATTGTTAGGAGAGCCAGGAGAGGTGTCCTGGTGGTGCCTTAGTCTATGGGAGAGGCCCAGACACCATTCTGCTGGGGTTCCCAAGCTGGCACCCTGAATTTAGTAGCTGAGGAATCCAGGAAGCCCCCAAGCATCATCTAGCATGTTTTTTTGTATGTATGTTTGTTTGTTTTTTGAGACAGAGTCTTGCTCTGTCACCCAGGTTGGAGTGCAGTGATGTGATCTTGGTTCACCACAATGGCCGCCTCCTGGGTTCAAGCAATTCTCCTGCCTCAACCTCCTGAGTAGCTGGGATTACAGGCACATACCACCACACCCGGCTAATTTTGTATTATTAGTACAGATAGGTTTCACCATGTTGGCCAGGAAGATCTCGATCTCCTGACCTTGTGATCTACCTGCCTTGGCCTCCCAAAGTGCTGGGATTACAGGCGTGAGCCACAGTGTCCAGCCCATCTGGATGTTTTATACTAACTGGAGTTAGGCCTAGAGCAGGGAGGTGGCTAGACAGTGACTGTAACCTCCATTTCCTGTCCTGACCAAACCAGTAGTCAGATGGGACAGTGAGAGGAGACATCACACTCTGGTTACACACCATTAACCCCCTTCTGACTACACACACACAAACACACACAGAGACACACACACACAGCCATCCAGATTCACAAATACATTCATAACACCCTCTTCATCCCTCAGTGTCTGGGTGGAGGCCCTTACGCAGGAATACCCCCGCAGAGGAGACGGTGGAGTGGAATGATGGGATTTCAGAATCCCCTCACCTCACCCTCTCACCTCCAGATCCTAGTCCAGATGTAATCCTGTCCTCACTACTTTGTGTGCATGCACACGCACACATACACGCACACACACAGTCTCGACATTCACATACAGACACCTACTCTTGACACCCACACAGGAACTAAGAGATGAATGTTTGTCCATAAACGAACACACATGCTATCCACACACCCCCAACCCTGCCCAGTGATGCTTTCCCCAGCACTACTGCACAGATCCCAGACAATACAGACACACAGGCACTCCTTGCACACTGAGTCCTACGCCACCTGGTTGAGCCATCCCCACCCCACCCCAGCTGCACACTCTTTCACATCCATCCCATAAAGGAAGAGTCTGTCTCTTTAACCATGCTTCCCATGGTTTCTTCAGAGTACCCTTGCCCCAAATGCTGCCAACCTCCCCCTAGACTCAAGATCTTCTCTTTCCAGATCCCTGGAGGCTCAGTGCCAGTGCACAGGAGGAGATCATCTTCCACCATATTCCCTGATTCCCAGAGGCTCTTTCTAGGGCAGGGGTCTGGCCAGGAAGACTGAAGCTATGACGTCTTCCTATGCAAGAATAGGAAGGATGTCTGTGGGTTGAAGGGTAGTTATAGGGAAGCAGCTTTCTTCACTTTTTGAGAAAGCACTTGGAAACAAGCACCCCTCTCAGGAACCAGTTCCCCATCATTCTCCTCCGATCCCATAGGCCTGGTGGTACAAGCCTCTGGCCGGTTGATGCCTCCCACTGGGATCAGCAGACAAGACCATGACCCTGCAGTGACCTCGACCCCATAATCAGGTCAGGTCTCGGCTTCATGGCTAGAAGTGAGGCCCAGGCAAGTGGTCCAGACACAGCAGAACAGAAGGATGCGCCAGGCTGCTGTCGGCTGCTGGGACGCGGTCTGCCGTACGTGGAGCACAGCCCGGGATAATCCCACTCAGGGCTCTGGGTGCCCGGTTCTCCCACTTCCCATCCCTGCGGCGCAAAGGCAAGGCCTAGACCCTGGAGAGGCCAAAGTTGGGCCAAAACAACAGCGAAGCTGGGACTAGAACAGGCGCCGGGGGCCCGCACATGACCCCAGACTCTCCAGTGATACTCCAGTGACGCCGGGGAATGAGTTGAGATGGAACTGGAGACAGAGGTTGGGATTCAGGACGAGGCGCTTGGGTATGGGATCGGATCTGAGACTGTTGCGGGGCTGGTGCTTGGGGCTGGACCAGACCCGAACCCAGAGCGGAGCCAGGGTCAGAGCCAGGGCAAGAGTCCGGAGCCCAGCTTAGCGTCCAGTCTGGGAGAGACCCCAGCATGACTGATGTCCAAGTAGGGTTGGAACTCGAAGACCGAGGGCACTGGAAATGCAGCCGGATGACGGCTAGGATCCGAGTGGGTCCCGACCAGAGCTGGGGACGTCAGAGCTCCACCGAGGCGCTCGAGGTCGGAACTGGAGCCTGAGACTTAGGCAGGACCCGAGACAGAGCCAGAGACGATACCGAAACCCAATGGACCGCGAGGACCGAAGGCAGATCGGGGGCGCGAACCTGTGCAGGCACCAGCGCGCTGCCTGGAGCTCTGGGTTCGCGCCGGCAGGCTGGGCCAGCGCTGCGCGCCGGAAGTGCACTCCGGACGCCGGGGCTCTGGAGCGAGAGACCACATGCCGCAAAAGTGGCCTCCGAATGCGCCCGGGGCCAGCCCTCTGCGACACTGCTGGCCTGGCGGCCGCAGCCTACCTGAAGTAGTCCATCTTGCAGAAGATCTCCTTGTTCTTGATGTAGCAGCTGTTCTGCTGCCTCAGCGACGTGCGACACACGGAGCACTCGAGGCACCGCACGTGCCAGATGAGGTTGTTGACCTGGGGAGGGGGCGGGGACGGGGGTCGGCTCAGCGCGGGCCTCGTTCACGCCGGGCCCCAGCCTCCCCGGTCCCATTTGCAGTCAGAGATGCTGAAGCTCAGAAGGTGCATGCGATTCCCCTGTTTTTCTTGCGTAATACTGAGACTCAGGAAAATGGAAATAAGCTCTTCCTATTTTTCAGACGGAACCCGGGGGTGCAGACAAGACCCTAAGTCTTGCCCAGAGCCTCGCAGTCGGGCAGGCGTGGAGCCAGGATTTGTAAGTAAGAGGACCTGGCGCCTGCGGTGCTTTCCTGCAGTCT